CCATGCTTTTTCGTGAACCTCGCTTTCAGCATTATATTCACAGCATGTCCATAATAATCCAAATTGATGTTAATCACATTCATGTTTCTCTTAAGACGACTGTAACACCCGGGAGAAATTGGAAAACAAATATTTAGCGGTTAACGCTTGGCGTATTATGGGCAATGTGAAAAAGGTGAATCAATGACCTACCAAGTCAGCCCGATTTTTCTCTGCGGTCTTTACTTTAGACAGAAATATTGACTCTAGAAGTCGTAACCTGGAAATTTGGTGCTACCGAACGGATTATTGTGCATAAAAGCGGTTTTTTGATTTTGCTGTAAACAAAAACATATTAAGACCTTCAGCTTGCATGATAGGAGAGTTTTCCGTTCAAGTGTTGTTTGCGGGGTATTTGTTCTTAATCACCCACTCCCTCCATCATAAGGAGGATTCTTTTTGGTGGTTTAGAGTTTAATTGCTCTTATTATAAGTATAAACTGAGGCTTCGCTTTTAGTCTTGGCTAAATCTAATAGTTTTACTTGTTTAAGCTCAGTATACGTTTGTCAAGCCCTAGTTTTGCTGAGTGTTATTTTCATGCTTTACATTTATTAGCAGAGCCCGAACTTAGAAAAATGAAGGATACGTGTTTACTTAAAGATGGACAAAGCACGTACTTTGAAAAGCAGGAACTAAAGTAATATTAAGAAACGGTCCTCTCGGATGTATGAGTCAAAAAGAGGAACATTGTAAGGGCAGCAAACCGTAACTTTTGACCGCACAAGTGAAGTAAATTCAAAGATGGACCCGAAATTCAGAATGTTATGTTTGTATTATGCATGTATTTAATCTTTTAAAATAGCTTTTTAGTTGATAATTCACCTGAACCTGTAGTTTTAATAAAATTGCTTTTTTTTGTTAGCGATGAAACTAGTAGATTGCGAGATAAGCCAATATATACCAAATAATTCCACCAACAAAAATGATGAAACCGCAGGTGAAAGAGGCTATATTCAACCGTCTGGTAGTAGCTGAGAGTCTTCTTGCCCTTTCGTAATCTCCTGCGTCATATGCTTTGTCCACCTAGTGTAGTAAAACATTAAAAGTAGAACAGATATATCATGCCAAGTAAAAACAACTTTTCAAATATGAAAATATTTAATACTAAATTTGTGCTGAAAAATTAAAAGACTTTAAACGCATTCTAAACCATAATTTCATGCACCACGTTTCAATCGGACACCATTCAGGAAATTTCAAAACTTTGATTTTTGATTATTTTAAGTTTAAGAACTTAGCGATGCTGTATTAGACTTTAATAGTGAAATGCATGAAAAGCCCATAATTCAGCAAGGAGCATACACTACCAAACTCCGCGGTGGTTTCAATTTTAAACCCCAAATTTTGCCTTCTGTGGATGCCTGAACTTCTGAAGATGAAATTTTAATTAGCATCATGTGCTAAAGACAGTGTTGTGCTTGACTAAAAACATCCCAGGGCAGGTTTGCAAGAGTGACAAGAAAATTCTTCAGTTCCAAATGGAGGAAATATAGGTTTAAAAATGTCCTTGGTTAAAAATATCAGTTTTAAAGGTGCTGCTACACGTACGTATGTTGATGAAGTAAATGTTAAATATGCAAATTTGTCGTTTTCTTTCTTCATTTTTGTTGTTTTTTTAATTTATTTCTGTTACTGCTGGCGGATGTCTTTTTGTTTGTTACAATGCAGTTTGTTGGAATTTTAACTCACAGTTGTTATTTCATACGATCTTGATCGAAAAATACTTGAATACTCCCACGTAATAACTGTGGGGGGAAGTTAGATGCCAATACCTCCATTTTATCCCATCAATTAATTGGCATCTAGAACGCCAGCAGCAGCCAGCATATTCAAAGGCTTTAATCCCCACTCCCCACCCCGTTGGATGACCAACGGGTTCAGACGAAACTCTGCAAGCGACGGAACGTGCGCCTACCTTATACTTTAAGCATGCATGATGGGAGTAAGATGCTGATTGGACTTTTTAAAAATATATATAAAATCAAGATGCTATATTTAACAGTGTTCATACCATGCAACTAAAGACCATGGCGACTACACTGATAGGAAAACAACAGAATAGTAAGGTAACGCTGGTTAAATGCTCGTAATTCTGGGGACGAGGAGGTTGTATCTGGACAGGCTGGTAAAATAAAAAGAAGACAATAAAAAAAACAGGTCGAGAGTTGAATATCAGGAAGGTTGGCAATTTTCATGCTCAGGGTCGGGTTGTTCAAAGCTGGGTTAAGATAACCCAGGGCTAATTTGAATTCAGATTTGAACGCTTAAAATTAAAGTAAATTCAGTTTAATTCCTTTTTTTTCGACAAGTTGATGTTTGGATGCTTTTAAAAAAAACAGAGACAATTACCCGAGAAAATGCATTTCAACAAAAGAAAAAGAAACCCGGGATAAAATTAAACCTGGCGGTTAAGCGCTAATCAGCCTTCAAACAACTGGGCCCAGTGGGTCATCGAGAGCCGGTTGGTGCTAACCTGCGTTTCTTTTTCTTTTATCAAAAAGTACTCCCGCGGATAATTTTCTCTATTCTTTTTAGGGTATCCAGTTATCAAATTGTAGGCAAAGAGAATTAAACTCAATTTGTTTTTTAAGCTCTTATATATCAAATGTCAAATTTTAAACTTACCCTGGATTATCTGAACCCAGATTCGAACAACCCGACCCAGGTGGTGATAAATATCTGATAAATTTGTGATTTATTCATTTAAAAACCATTTCTCAATTTGTGATTGGTTTAATCCATCATTAAATTAAAAGCTGACAAAATTTGAAAGTTTATAATAATGTCATGTGTTCCAAGCTAAAAAAATAAACGACTGGAGTCACACACCTGAGAAGCAGTGTAGAGTTAGAGAGCGTGAAACTGGCTAAAAGATGTCACTAAGCCATGAAGAATTAAGTAATTAGGAAATTACGGAATTTATTACCATTTGGTCTAAATACTCACTTGCAAAGCTTCATCAATGGCATGTTGCTGTCCTTGGGCTGGTGAGTATGTTTGCAGTTGATATACCAGCTGTCCAAAGTCTGGATTTCTGGAAGGAGCTATGTATTCATAACTTTTCTCTTTAGTATCTTCTATACTTTTTAAAAGCAGGGTATAGATTTCATTACCCTATATCTGATGCCCAGGCCAAATGAAAATTAAGGGAGAAGTCTTTAAGAATGCTCTCTTGACAAATTTAGGTTCTGAAAGCTATTGTGGATTCAGTTTGCTTTCATTTTAAACTTTTTTCTCTATTCAAATTTGACTGAAGGCACTGGGAGACTTTTATACCACCCATTAAATGAGATAGAGTGCATTTCTTTTTTTGTGATCTTGGATTCGTACTGCGTCAATCAATAGCAAAGTTACACAGTCTGAGAAATCTGAGTATTTGTTTTACCGAGCTTAATCCCGACAATGCTATACTTGTTCCCAGACCCTTCATATTTTTCATTTACAGTGTTAAAGGCCAATGACCTGTCCCTCCCTTACTCCAATCCGTTATCTTCATCAAATGTCGGAAAATCTTTACAATTTTGTCAGAGTTTCGCTAGATTTTTAGATGTTTAACATATTATTGTAACAGATTCAGCCAAGATCTTTGTTAACACAACTCCGCTAACTTGTTGATGGTTTTTAAATTTGGTACATTAGATATGAGCTTAAAGGTACCTTGGGCAATGTTTTCCCTTGAGCTCATAATTGTTAATTGCTGACGCTGAAAGAAGATTTTAAAAACAAGAAGGAATGAGTTGAGGTAAATGACTAAATGTTCTGTTACGAATTTTAGATTTGCCCAAGTGGATCAGCTTCTGATATTAGTGGACACTAGCAATTCTACATCATAAGTTTTACCTCATTCTCTCTTGGTTTTGAAAAATGGATTACCCTTCGACGCGAAGATGTGATGTAATTATGTTTCTTAACAACGAAACACTAAGCTAATTACATTTGACGGATATACAAAACAAGAGAATGTAATGAAGAGAAAGGTAAAGGCAAAGAGGCAAAAGCTAACTGAAAATAAATTTAAGCCTATGCTTACCTGAGAACGACTTTAAAGATCACTGGTATTAAGACTAGAATTCTCTGAAGCAGATTTAACAATCTCAATCATTTTTAGTTCTATTATCGTAATTGATTTTCACTGACTGAATCATACGAAAAGTGATTGACTAGCTGATAGTTTGTTTCAACTCAAATGTTTATTATTTTAAATAAGTATTTCATAATGGTATAACTAAAGTTCGTAAATGCTGAAGGAGTTTTAGTAGCTTTTTTTAATGATCTCATAAATATAATGCAATCTTTTCTTGTTAATGCTGGAACCCCGAAACCAGAAAATACTTGTTAATGAAACGTTGAATGAATGGGATGTGGAGCATTTATAGTCAAACAGTGATGACCCCGGGATTTTCTTTTTCCTTCCTCTTTTTGGGCTTCAGCATGAGTAATCACAAATGAAAAACTAGCATGGTATGTCTTTTGTCACAAATTCTCTTTTGTAAAGTGCGTTAAAAAGGAAGTGAAAACATTTGATGTACATCATACATGTTTTTAATAACTTCCATAAATGGCAGCGAAGGCGCATGAATGCAAAAATCGAAACAGAAAACGACAATTGGTGACAGTCTTGATCAGCAATGTCAGCCAACGTCAGAGGCGTTCGAAAGCCTCTCTCTTGACTTTGTACACTTCAATTATTGTCTAGCTTTACAGTTATTTTGGGTGTCCAACTACTCTTTTTTTATTAATAATTATATTTCTTGAGTAGAAAGTTCACAGGTACTAAGTTGGAGAATTTCATTGTATGATCTGGAATTCATTAGTCTGGTTTCGTTTTTCTCCGCACATCATTTTATTAAACACTTATCAATAATTACAAACTGACGAATTTTATGAAGTAAAGCCAAGAGAATAATTTGCCCATTATTCTCGGATTGTAAAGCGGAATTTGCGGTAGTAACTCAATTAATTAAAAACTATTATCTTGTTCTTGTATCGCTTTCACACGCAAATAGACTATTAATGGGATGAAGATAAGACCAGATATGACCGAAAGTAAATTAAGCGATTTAGCAGTTTTTGCGTTTTTCTCCGCTTCTTCGTGATTTCCAGCATTGTATGCTCTATCCACCTAGAGAAAAAGAAAGAAAATCATACGAGCATAAATTATGTAATCATAAAAACATCATTCCCGGCACTGCAGACATTTCCAGTACCAGTTCATGTGAAACGGTCATTCACAGTTTAAGGCCCGGTTCAGATGCTGAACTTTACCGAACCTAATAGACCTTTGTCACGCCGTGGTCATTTTGTCCCAGGAGATTAAAAAAACATTGTTTTTGCGGTCAGCATTAGATCCCATCGGCCGTAGCCTCTTTCTCCCTTACTTCACGAAATTTATACAAGGTAGAACTGTTTTCTGCTTTTATACAGCTCTTTCGAGAAAGGTTGTCGGAAAAAATGTGCACGCGACAATCCCGAAAGGTAATATGGGATACGATCAATTCACTCAGTTCCTGACACTGTAGCTGTCAAAACTACTTTTGTCACTTTCCTTTAGCACTCGCAAACATACGTCTATAAGTCTCTCGTGCCATTCTCTCAAATGTCTTTGCAGAACAAAGATAACTATAGATATTTTACCTACTACTGTATATAGTTTTTACCTTTTATATTCTCCCCTAATTGGTGTCCCCAAATTAGTAAGGGATTCTTTTTTTCCCTGGCTAGACGGCTTTTGACACTTTAATAAAGTTTCTATCTATCTATCTATCTATCTATCTATCTATCTATCTATCTATCTATCTATCTATCTATCTATCTATCTATCTATCTATCTATCTATCTATCTATCTATCTATCTATCTATCTATCTATCAAAACCACCGACAATACCTTTCAGGATTGTCGCGTGTACTTTTTCTGACAACCTTTCTCAAAATAGCTGTATATATCACACTCGGGTGATATTTCAAGTAGGAAATGTTCATGAAAGTGCAAGTCTATTCAATTTTAAAGAAAGAAAATTGTTGGGAATAGCAATATACCGAGTATACCATGCTAACCACTAGACCACTGAGGATTTGATGGATGGAAGGGAAATAATTTAATTACGTATAGCATCAACCCCAAACCAAAAAAGAACTTAGCAAGTTGCGAAACAGTGCTTAACCCTAATCAGAAAAGGCAGTGCTTAACCCTATTCAGAAAAGGCGGTGCTTAAACCTAATCAGAAAAGGCAGTGCGTCACCCTAATCAGAAAAGGCAGTGCTTCACCCTAATCGGTAAAGGCAGTGCTTAACTACTACTACCACTTTAAGGAAAACTATGTTGTGTAAATTTCATGAGGTGTCCGAAGGGGCTAAGGTCGAAAGGATCTAATGTTAACCTGTTTTTGCACGGCTAGCCTCGCATTGAGAACGAGGAAAGCCGTGCAAATACAAAGCTCTTTTAATCTCTTGGGATGACCGCCGCGTGACAAGAGTCTATCCGTGGAAAGTGCGGCGCTGAATTAATTAGGAACGCCTGTTTCAATTTGGAACGGCGCAGCCGTTCTTTTCGCATAGCCTAGACTACGAGTAGTCCCCCATTTTTCCTTAGGGATAGTAGAGCGAGCGAAACGAGAGCGCGCGTGAAAATCACCCCACGCGAGAAAAGGCGACACGTGGAGGGGAGAGAGAACGATTTTCGGGAACGGCTTTGATTCAGAGGCCGAACTTTTCATGTACCGAACCTAATGCATAAATTATTATAACGTATTTTGTTAGCAGTTTGACCTGGAAATTAGCATTTTTCGCCTTTTGAACTTTGCTCAACTGCAAAGGCGCCTGAATCAATTCAGCCAGTCTAAACAATTTGAGTCGGCCTTTATTCGAATTTATAGGTTCGGCTCATGAAAAGTCTGGCGTCTGAACCGGGCCAGCTAATAGGCGCCGGCAACGAGGACGTTGGAACAGAAATAGGTTTATGTCTATCATGTGCTTCACGCTTTTTTGCACATTTCTTTGCCGTTGCTGCCCGACTACGACGTGAAAATGCCTAATTTCACGTTTCATGGAGGACGCAAACAAGTTACGACAGAATTTTCTTTCTCTTTCTAAAATTTGAGTGCGGCCCCCAGGAAATCAACTCCAGGCAAATTTGCCTACATCAGATATTTTCAGCGAATTTGAAAGGACGCTAATTCGTTTTAAAAGTTACGTTTTTTGCAGTCGTCGCCGTCGTCGATGCTAAAACGCTCTAATAGGGGCTAGGTCACGTGGCAATATCTGGTAATTTCAGCGCTTGTCAACTAGTCAAAGAAAATTTATCCCAAATAATTGTGCAAGCGTAAACGAGAATAGGAAAGCCAAAAGGGGCATAGGTGAACTAGCATAATAACGACTGTTTCCCCAGCATTTTTACTGAGTTTTTTCGGCTTTTTTAAAGTGTTGTCAGAACCCGTAGCCAATATAGATCTGAGGCAACCATGACTTAAATTTTTCGTACGTATCTTATGCAAGATACACCTAAAAAAAAATAATTAATAACGATTTAGAGGTAGCACATCCACCAAGCAGCCATTCGTCTACCTGATTCTTCGGTCAACTGAAATGGAGTACCCAGAGAAAAACCTTTCGGAGCAAGGGAGAGAACCAACAAATACAGTACCTCAGTAAGATTTTTCTGCTATTACTTGTTTTTGCTGGTTTGTTTTGGTAAGTTAAACTTCATAAATTGTAGCTAAGTTAAACGAACCGTCTTTGACCTTGTCTGCCAGGGTTACTCCCCTAAAATACTTTACGGGTGTTATGTGCCGCGGTTCGTAAGTGACGGCTCGAGACGTTTTCTGCAACAATGTGTAGTATAATTTTGAACGTACAAAGCTCAAGTAAAGGTAGGGTCTGCTCTAAACTAGCTATATACTAAAAAATTAGCCTTTTCTTGTACGCTGATTTGTTTTCTAAAACAACTGCTAGGCTTGAATTTAAAGGCCAATGTTCACCCAAACGGCTTTGCGCGCTTGTGTTTTTGTTTTGTAACGATTTTTTTGTCAAGGATGTAGTGTTTTGATTGGCTTCCACTTTTGAGGAGCGTTGCGTGACGATACTACGCGAATTTTTTTTTTTTTTTCTGGAGTGCAGGGCGCGCAATGCATTTAGGGTGAACATGGGCCTTTAATGAACAGGGCGCCAAATCCCTCCCGTGTAGCACTTACCTAGACCCATCACAACTTGGTGGAGGGAACAAAACAACTTAAGGTTATTTCTTACCTTACGACTGTAGACAATTGCTGATACACCACATGGTAAGCAACAGAACAAGGTGGTAAAAATTGATACAGCCAGCCAATTCCATGGACGAGGAGGCTGAGCTGTTGAATTGGGCTGAAAATACGAAAATAGTGGTGAGTAAAGAAAGATTAGGCATTTTGATTGTATAAAAACGTTGCTGTTAGGTACAAAGAAATTATTGAATTTAACTTAATGAAGAGCTTACTTGCAAAGTCACACTCGTGGAAGTTGGCCTTTCTTGTGGGTACGGTTGTATCGGGTAGCCGGGATATCTGGGGGGAACTATGGAATAGCGTTTGTATTTAGTATCATGGCTCGTACGCTGACTCTTCACGATGATTGTGTTATAATATGTATTTATAGCAAAGCAATACTGAGCCAGGAGGAAAATCAGTATTGAAAAAAAATGTTTATATCAAGTGCTTAATTTTAATTATCAAGGGTAAATGATATTCTTACGTACCTTGAGTATCGTTGTGATCGGCCATTGCTTGAATATAAAATTGCTGAAAGTACAAATTAAGAAATGGAAAACGTGCCGTGTGCAACCATCGAGTTATGGATGCACGCGGGAGGTTGCTAAGCTCGAAAGAACGTAAACGTTTGAGAATCGCTTGACTTTTCTGAATCGACAAAAGATAGTTTAGATTAGCTGGTTTTTTCCATTTGTGAAATTTACAGAAAAGACAGGACTGCCGGTCATTTAGTGTTTTGAAAACCTTGACCGGTTACCGGCTATATAGCCACAGCTTTTTAAGTTTAATCACTTAAAATTATCTGCTAAGTTAGCTAATATGATGATGTCAAAAGTAAAAACTCATTCTTACCTGAGAAGAGATCAAGAAGAAATAATATGCACAGACTTGGAAAAAAGTTTAAACCTCAAACCCTGCTTACTCGATATGGATGACTTTTTCAACAGCTATCTCATCCTGTTATAGCGGTTTTCCAGTGACGTCATCAGATTTCTCAATGCCTTTTAAGTAAAATTACTTTACAACTTTGCATACGTATTTTTTGTTCTTACCAATAATATAACTGCATAGCGGAATTTTTCATTGTCACAGTTCATTTATTAGCTAAAAGGTGGAAACTATCTGTTGTGTTGTAAAGTAAAATCACACCACGGCTTCCTGTTACTTCCTTGCAACCATATTCAAACGCAATCTAAATAAAGCTGGTGTGATTATTTTCCTTTACAGGAAAGTCTACACGAACTTAGATTATTGTACAATAAATCACATATATTGCGGAGTAAATCTTATTTATCAGAGAGAACGAATACCACGACTACACGAGCTGATGCCAGCGATGGTGGTTGTAGTGCAACAGGGTAGTATTTTGTGTTCCATGCTTTTTCGTGAACCTCGCTTTCAGCATTATATTCACAGCATGTCCATAATAATCCAAATTGATGTTAATCACGTTCATGTTTCTCTTAAGACGACTGTAACACCCGGGAGAAATTGGAAAACAAATATTTAGCGCTTAACGCTTGGCGTATTATGGGCAATGTGAAAAAGATGAATCAATGACCTACCAAGTCAGCCCGATTTTTCTCTGCGGTCTTTACTTTAGACAGAAATATTGACTCTAGAAATCGTAACCTGGAAATTTGGTGCTACCGAACGGAGTATTGCGCATTAAAGCGGTTTTTTGATTTTGCTGTAAACAAAACATATTAAGACCTTCAGCTTGCATGATTGGAGAGTTTTCATTTCAAGTGTTGTTTGTGGGGTATTTGTTCTTAATCACCCACTCCCTCCATCATAAGGAGGATTCTTTGTGGTGGTTTAGAGTTTAATTGCTCTTATTATAAGTATAAACTGAGGCTTCGCTTTTAGTCTTGGCTAAATCTAATAATTTTACTTGTTTAATCTTAGTATACGTTTGTCAAGCCCTAGTGTTGCTGAGTGTTATTTTCTTGCCTTACATTAGCAGAGCCCGAACCCGATGCGTGCAAGTTACTTAAAGATGGACAAAGCACGTACTTTGAAAAGCAGGAACTGAAGTAATATTAAGAACGGCCCTCTCGGATGTATGAGTCAAAAAGAGGAACATTGTAAGGGCAGCAAACCGTAACTTTTGACCGCACAAGTGAAGTAAACTCAAAGATGGACCCGAAATTCAGAATGTTATGTTTGTACTATACATGTATTTAAAATTTTAAAATAGATTTTTAGTTGATAATTCACCTGAACGTGTAGTTTTAATAAAATTGCTTTTTTTGTTAGCGATGAAACTCGTAGATTGCGAGATAAGCCAATATATACCAAATAATTCCACCAACAAAAATGATTAAACCGCAGGTGAAAGAAGCTATATTCAACCGTCTGGTAATGGCTGAGAGTCTTCTTGCCCTTTCGTAATCTCCTGCGTCATATGCTTTGTCCACCTGGTATAGTAAAACATTAAAAGTAGATCAGATATATCATGCCATGTAAAAACAACTTTTCAAAAATTTAAATATTTAATACTAAATTTGTGCTGAAAAATTAAAAGACTTTAAACGCATTGTAAACCATAATTTCATGCACCACGTTTCAATCGGACACCATTCAGGAAATCTCAAAACTTTGATTTTTGATTATTTTAAGTTTAAGAACTTAGCGATGCTGTATTAGACTCTAATAGTGAAATGCATGAAAAGCCCATAATTCAGCAAGGAGATACACTACCAAACTCCGCGGTAGTTTCAATTTTAAACCCCAAATTTTGCCTTCTGTGGATGCCTGAACTTCGAAAGATGAAATTTTAATGTGCTAAAGACAGTGTTGTCCTTGACTAAAAACATCCCAGGGCAGGTTTGCAAGAGTGACCAGAAAATTCTTCAGTTCCAAGTGGAGGAAATATAGGTTTAAAAATGTCCTTGGTTAAAAATATCATTTTGAAAGGTGCTGCTACACGTACGTATGTTGATGAAGTAAATGTTAAAGATGCAAATTTGTTGTTTTCTTTCTTCATTTTTTTTTTTTAATTTATACTGCTGGCGGATGTCTTTTTGTTTGTTACAATGTAGTTTGTTGGAATTTGCTTTGCTTAACTTACAGTTGTTATTTCATACGATCTTGATCGAAAAATACTTGAATACTCCCACGTAATAACTGTTGGGGGAAGTTAGATGCCAATACCTCCATTTTATCCCATCAATTTTGACCCCGGTTTCAGTCTGACAAATTACAATTAATTATGGTTTCTTAAAATCTTCAGACACGTTGGTCAAATTTTCTTAATATTTTCGTAAGGTATAACTCCGATACCATGATTCCCAAGGCAATATTTTGCCAAAAAAAAACACATATAAAAGTGCTTTTTTCCAATGACGTCAAAATGTTTATTAATTGGCATCTAGAACGCCAGCAGCAGCCAGCATATTCAAAGGCTTTAATCCCCACTCCCCACCCCGTTGGATGGCCAACGGATTCAGACGAAACTCTGCAAGCGACGGAACGTGCGCCTACCTTATACTTTAAGCATGCATGATGGGAGTAAGATGCTGATTGGACTTTTTAAAAAAATATATAAAATCAAGATGCTATATTTAACAGTGTTCATACCAAGCAACTAAAGACCATGGCGACTACACTGATAGGAAAACAACAGAATAGTAAGGTAACGATGGTTAAATGCTCGTAATTCTGGGGACGAGGAGGTTGTATCTGGACAGGCTGGTAAAATAAAAAGAAGAAAATAAAAAAAAAACAGGTCGAGAGTTGAATATCAGGAAGGTTGGCAATTTTCATGCCCAGGGTCGGGTTGTCTAAAGCTGGGTTAAGATAACCCACGGCTAATTTGAATTCAGATTTGAACGCTTAAAATTAAAGTAAATTCAGTTTAATTCCTTTTTTTTTTAACTGGGCCCAGTGGGCCCAGTGAATAGAGAGCCGGTTAGTGCTAACCTGCGTTTCTTTTATCAAAAAGTACTTCCGCGGATAATTTTCCCTATTCTTTTTAGAGTATCCAGTTATCAAATTGTAGGCAAAGAGAATTAAACTCAATTTGTTTTTTAAGCTCTTATATATCAAAGTTCAAATTTTAAACTTACCCTGGATTATCTTCGAACAACCCGGCCCAGGTGGTGATAAATATCTGATAAATTTGTGATTTATTTATTTAAAAACCATTTCTCAATTTGTGATTGGTTTAATCCATCATTTAATAAAAAGCTGACAAACTTTGAAAGTTTATAATAATGTCATGTGTTCCAAGCTAAAAAAATATTATATAATACACGACTGGAGTCACACACCTGAGAAGCAGTGTAGAGTTAGAGATCTTAAAACTGGCTAAGAGATGTCACTAAGCCATGAAGAATTAAGTAATTAGGAAGTTACGGAATTTATTACCATTTGGTCTAAATACTCACTTGCAAAGCTTCATCAATGGCATGTTGCTGTCCTTGGGCTGGTGAGTATGTTTGCAGTTGATATACCAGCTGTCCAAAGTCTGGATTTCTGGAAG